TATATATATATATATATATATATATATATATATACACATACAGGTATAAATGGTCATAGAACAAAAACATCCTGATGTCCCAAGTATTACACTCTGAGCTTTAGCAGTGACATCCAAACTGACAAATCCCAGACATTGTCTAAACTGCAAACTGTTACTCTGGACTGTTTAACTGTGAGAAGTGAAACTGGTTTTGTTTTGGGGGTTTTTCAGGACCCAGATATTATGTTGGACATTAAATGGCAACTAACACAACCTCAAACCTGTAATACATATTTAATGTAGCCTGGGACAAATTTTCTTTTATACATCTGATGACGGTATGTCATACAACCTGTTTATGTTTGCATCTGCATCAATTAATGGCAAAATATTAAACAGTTTGATGGAATAAATGGCTTTTGACTTTATAAGCTTTTGTAGTTTGCTATCTTAACTATGCACAATAATATGGTGGGTCAATTTTTATTGTTTGCAGTTTTTTTTATTACTATTATTTTATTACTATGTATTATCCTATTGGAACAGACCTGTGAACCATTTTGGGGTTAATTCAATCTATTCAGTAAACAAATACAAAAAGGAGAAGGCAAATGAAGATGCAGAATTATTTAAGACATTAAAAATCAATAGCCAGGGGCATTAGTTTCAAGGGATAGTTCAGAATGAAAATTCTGTTCTCATTTTCTCATCTCATCAAAGCGTCTGCTAAATGACTAAATGTCATCCTCATGTTGTTCCAAGCCTGTATGACATTCCGTGGAACATAAAAGAAGATGTTTAGAACATTGTCTCTGTTTTTATTGCCCATACATTGCAAGTAAATGGTGTCCAGGGTTATCGTGGATGTTCTCCAGTGGTAAAAGATGTCCATCTGTTTACATACAAAAACAATGGAAAAGTGGAAATATGGAATGCAAAAATGCATTCTGTGTGAATGGCCCATTAATGGACTATTGCTTTAATAACTAGTTACGCCTGGTTATACATGATTAGAGCAAATGAATTTATTTTCTTCATCCACCAAGGAACCTTTCCGCCAAACTCACTTGACCCTCTGTTCTTCCAACTTCTTAAGCTCTGCATCTCTCTTCAGCACTGCCAGGATCATCTCTTGCTCTTCCTCTGTCAGATAACTCAGGTCAATCATGATGAATGGCTTCCGGGTAGGTGATGATAACAGATGAGTCTCAGATTGCCTCTGACTGGTTCACTGAAAGTGTCAAGAGCATCACTGAGGGTAACTTGAAGGCTGATGCTTGATAAGTCACTGCATCACATCATGGAGAACATCAGAGGAGCACCTGCACCAGACAGACAGAAGGAGTTTCAACAAACACAGTATGAGCTTGGCTCACAAAGAACTATGTCTTCCCTGTGAATTCTTCTAACCATTAAGACATCACATGATCCTAATTGTTCCTAATGAATCTGTGAGCCGGGCTTTCAAGACTTCTGCTTCGAGCATCATCTATGCTTCCCTAAACATCTGAAATGACATTGTTTCTCTATATCAGCTCCGGTCCATACAGTATGTGCTCAACACTGGACATGTGACATGGCATTGTCAGATGACTATCAGAGGATATGGGTACTGGCTGCTTCTCAGAGCAAAGAGCACCGTCAAAGACTCTTTTACTCCTAAATCAAATTACACAACTCAAATTAGGTGGCAGCACACAAATGGTATCAATTTGAACAGTCTGCTTTTCTAAAAAACAGTTTAGAAACCCATGGAAAAAAGAGGAATACGTCTAAACCATTTAAAGAACTGGAATTATGATATTTTTGGATGGAATGACCATTGGCAGAATTCCACATGTCTGGATAAGGTAATATAACAAACAGAATAAATGCTGAAAAAAATCGAACAAAATATTTTCTAAAAGAGCTTTGTATAAGAGGCAAATTCCTTCTCATTGCACAGTGCCGGTGACTTTTATGAATAAACTGTATTGAAAATCTCCTAGAAATAGTTTACAAAGAGCTTAAACAAACAAATGTCTTCTACCAAAGAGACTTTTTTTTTTTCATAAATAAAAAATGTGAAATTTATTATTATTTTTTTCATTTACTTATTTTATTTATTAATTCCTTTGCATATTGTAACATCCGATTTTTATGTATCAGAAAAAAGAACAGCAATAAGTTCCTACGTCTTGCATGGGCATATCTGGGTGTCTAGATAAAGCTATGATACATTCCAGCCAGAGCGGAAGTTTGTTGTTACTTTCCTATTTTGGACATCTGTTCCCAAGTCATGTTCTTGATTGAGTCATTTCCATGAAAAACACCTCTACATGGGTTTACTCAACACACACACAAAACATATCTGATAAGCATTTTCCTTCTTGTTCCAAGAAGAACAGTATAATTCTTTCGATTCTTTAGTAACGGTATTTTTAAATATTTACTTCTTTTAAAATCTAATAAACACTGCTAAATGATTTCTCTCAGTACAAATCAGATTTCAAAATGACACAGTAAAGCATTTAAGTGTCTGCTGGTTCTGAGAAAAGCATGTCATGACAACATAGTTGGGATGATCACCTGAGGCGGGATCTGTAAATCTGAACTTTTCAAGGGATATGCCATTACCAAAATAGAGAAGAACTATTCTCATCCAGACACAGTAAACATGAATAATACATGTTAACCATTTACCTATTCCACATCCCTTTGAGGCATGTACCATAACAAAGAGTTGCCACCTGGTTTGGGTTCACTTATTATAGGTGTGGAGTTTTACTGTGTTACAAACCATTTTACAGGGTTTTAAGCATCTGATTTTTTTTTTCAGTGACTAAAAGAGAATGTTTTAGGTTTTTTTTCATCCTAGATAATGTAAATCGTGTGCCTAAAAAGCTTTGAACATGCTACCTTATCAAGTGGAACATTTCTGTTTGTTTGTTGATTTTCTTTTTTTTTGGGGGGGGGGGGCATCTTAAACAAAGACAATGCTTCAATTATGTATTTTAAGATGGGTTTTAGTAATGTTACTGTGGAATAAAATGGCCTTTCACACAGAACCCTTGTAGAAGCACTCATTTAACTAATCACTGTCTGATCTGGAAGTAAATAAATACTCCGCATTCTTTCTCTAAATAGCTTTACAAGAATGAACAGATTAAGGAAGCAGGAAATGAGAAAAAAAAAATCGAAGTGGCTCCAGAGATAAAAACACAAAACTCCAGACATGAAAACAACATAATGAAATGAGCGCCTGCTGAAACAGAACCCATCCCTGTCAGAGCATGCAGCAGAACTTCCAACTCACAGCAGGGAAATTGTTAAGTGAAGTTAAAGCCTTAAAAAGTAAAACAGTATCTATTAAGGTAAAATAAAACAACTGACAAGCAAAAGTTTACCTGAGTCTTGCTCGCGTGGCTGCTACTAGACCGCGTTATTTTCCAACACATCTGAAACACCAGAGGAGTGTAATAATCCATTTGCCAGACACTTGCTGATATGAAACAAATTATTTAAATCTCCAGCTTTAAAGCGAGGCGTGTGTTTACCGGTGGGTGTGTGTGTGTGGGCTCCTCCACTCCACGAACTCGCGTGCACACTGGTTGTGTGTGAACAACTAGTAAGAGCTAAAAATGCTGTTGATTAACTCGTGGGGAGTTCCGAACGATATCCACAAAATGCTGTCTAGGCAGGAGGTTCACTAAGTTTTGACACAAATCCCCTGTGTGCGCTCATAAAGGCGTGGTCACGCTCTGTCACTCTTGTAAACTTTTAATTCTGTCACACGCACGTGCCATATACATCATTATGTCATTAAATATCCTCTCGATAGCACCACAGAAAATCCTGTGCATCCTTGAATACGCAACCTATGTATACAAATGAAACATAATCTATAACGTCACTACCTACAACCTTCATTCTGTCTCTCCACTCCCTGTGATTCAGACTATTTAATGAACGTGAGTCGTTTTATTTTGTTCTGACCTCCCTGACTTTCAGCTGTTACACCCTAATGATAATAATACATCAGAATATCAGAATGTACAATTTGTTTGCTATATTCAGATGTATTATTATTAATGTCAAATAAACAAAGCAAACTCCGTAGTAAAAAAAACCATATATTTTTTTAATGCAGTTTTGCCACATGTGCTTTTATGTATCCTCCTGAGACCCAGCTATGGAGTTTTTTCTCTGTAGTGGACATTATATTTTAGTGAATTTCTCTGAGACATGTCACAGTTTTAAAGGGGTCCTATTATTATACTTTTTCACTTTTTCAACTTTAGTTAGTCTGTAATGTTGCTGTTTGAGCATAAAAAAAGATCTGCGAAGTTACAAAGCTCAAAGTCCAATTCAAAAGGAGATATTTTATTTAACAGAAATCACTTTTCAAAAACTACAACAAACGACTCGTTTGGACTACAACGCATATTTTCCGGGATTTGTGATATCACAAATATCGACGAATGGGATGAGACCTGGTTGAGCTGCACTAGAGAAGGCAACGAGTGTTATCACTATGTCGGAGACACTCTATAGCTTTCCCAAGGCAGACGAACTTAGAGTAGTTACAATCATCCGGGTTTAAATCGCGCTCAAATTGGTTTGATTTTGACGCAATATTTACACTGAAGCTCGCATGCGGCTATGGTAAGGGGCGTGACATTTCCCGACCAGGCGCCGAGTGCTGCCAATCACAACACACACTGGTCCAGCTAACCAATCACAACACACACTGGCCCACCTAACCAATCTCAGCACACACACTGGCCCAGCTAACCAATCACAGCACATTTCGTCTTTCAGAAGGCGGGCCTTCATTTGATACGGGAACTATTCGACTCGTTCATGCCAGACTGGGGAGAGAGGTGTTGTAATAATGTAAAATATGTGAAAAATAATGTGTTTTTCGAACAACCTAGTATGAGAGCCTGTTCTAGTACACCCCCAAAACAAAATCAAGACTTTGTAAAAGAGCATAATAGGACCCCTTTAAGTCTGGATGTCCTGTAAAGAGCACATTTAGGGCTTTTCCAGAGATACCAAATGTTTGGATGGTTCACCATGGCCACTCCCTCACCTTGGTCTTTAAAGATGGCTGGCATTAATTTAGTGATAAAATTGTACATCCTTATGGAAATATGATAATATTTTGTAATTATCATTTAAATCTGTTTAATTGTCATAAATCAGCATATCTCAGGAAAATGTTATGGGGTTTCAAATCAAAATATGACTTCCTGTTATGAAATCATTTCATACATGTCCACTGTAGAGGATACCAGGACTAAAAGCATGTTTATTACACATTTTGGGAGACAAAACAATTGAATAGCAAAATAAATTATATATCAATATTCTTATGACATATTAGATATTGGTATGACAATCTGGCCAAATATGACTCCCATTATTACACTTCTTTTTTCACCATGCTGTCCCAACAGCAATATGCAAATTAGATACAGTGTATAGATAACATTGTGTGGGAAAACCAGTTTATGGAAATTTTACACACATATTGTATAGCCTAAAGCAAAATGGCATATCAAAGCATCCGGTTATATCTTTTATAACAGTTGAGAATCATCTTTATACAAAGTTTGGTTTAAAAAAAAAAATCCTGAAACCTTAAAATTGATTGGTGATTTAAAAAAAAAAAATCCCATTGTTTTTGACTTTTTATGTCTATTCATGCCATTTTATTTTGGTGTCCTCTACAGAGGACATAGCATAACATATGAACAAAATATAATTTTCCTTTTTTTTTATTTATTATGCTCTAAACAATGTAATGACATGAAAAAATTTTAAATTTACAAAGCTTTTTTTTTCTGAGGATATGAAATTTTTCATACAGTTCAGATTCAGAATAAAATGTATAAACGTACGTCCTCGAATTGTCGCCCTCTGCTGATCGAGTTCACAGCGGCAGTTGGTTTCCTTAACAACGTGTAAACATATCCGGAAAAGTAAAAGTAAATTAGTAGAATAAAAAAAGAAAACGCAGCTCACAGGTAGGCTAATATTGTTTGCTTTCTCACCCCCACAGATTGTTATCTTAACAGTCTCTTTGAAAGTTTAATAAATGCTGTTGTTTTTGTTTGTTTTTCATATTAAATATGATCATTTCCTGGCATAAGGGAAAATGAGCAAGACATTAGATACAACATCTCTGTCAGAGACCTTCATACAGTTCCAGTTAGTACGGTTCTTAATACGGTCTATCCATTCCTCACTGCTTTGCCTTTTCCTGTGAGTCTAATATCTTTATTTCGAATAGAATTCAGGTTAAAAGGGAAGAGATTCAAGATTTTGAGGAAGAAATATGCCAACTAGAAGATAAGAAGAAAAAACTGATAAAGCTGGTAAGTGTCAACATTATGTTTGTGAAGATGATGACGGAAGAAGACTAAACTCAAACACGTGTCTGCAGCAGGAGCAGCTAAGAGAGGAGCATAGAGGCCATGTGCGTGAACTGCAGAAAAAGATGAAGGAGCAGGAGAGGAACCTGGAGCAAAGGCAGCGAGAAGATGAAGAGCAGGTGGAGGGCACGGCCCGGGAGAATCTGGAGCTAAAACACAAGCAAGAGAAAGAGCTAGAAGGTACTTGAGTGGCAATAACAATGTTTTGAGGAAATAGTTTGCTCAAAAATGACTCTGTCATCATTTACTCACCCTCATGTTCTAACCGAATCTTTCAAGTTTGAAAAATGATACAAAAATACCATAAATTAACAGCCTATAAAACAATTCCATATGACATATACGCTATATTCAGCATATTCTAAAGCCATATTGCAGGAGTGGGTTCGTGTACTCAGACAATAATATTAAAGACCAAATTTTAAATATTAATATACCAAATATTAAAGACCACCTTCTTAATAAAACATACTGTGTAGAAGCAAGAAGATAAATTGTAATATCACTGTTTAACTTAATACTGACCAGTCTGAGTGAACGGCAGCGCTAATTGTCTCATGAACATGCAGTCCTGTACAGAAGACCAGGATTTTATTTTTATGTTAAATATTACATTAAATTTCGCTTCTTGTATACACCCAGAAAACTCGGTGAACATTCAGTGATACTTTTATGTTTTGTTTTTTTTTTTTAAAAGAAGCAGCAGCTTTATGCGGTTCGCTTTCCACTACCATTATATAGAAAGAGCACAAGTTGTATTTTTTTTTATGGTCCGAAAAAGAAAGTGTATATGGCACTAGAACAACACCAGGGTGAGTAAATGGCTTTTTACAATGTTCCCACTTTTCAAGCTTCAAACAAGATGCAAAATACCGTAAAAGAACATTAGGAATATAGCTCACAAGTCATATTTAATTGTGTAATGTCATCTAAAGCCATGCATGATACCTTTGTGTTGGTGTGTTCATGAGAATCAGATCAAGAGTCAGATCTTCTCAACAAAATGTATGGTTCAGTTCATAAAACCAATCTGAATGATTCATTCACGAGTTTTTAAGCCGCAGACTTTCCAGGGAATCAACCATACAAAGCTACAGCTACAGAAAAAAAATGTAATATAGCCCACAACATGTGCAGTATGTACTAGTTTTATGGTTATGTATGATACATAAATCATAAAAGTACATTGCTGTACCTTAGTGAACACCTTTAAAAATGGTTTGTGTGGTTTATACAGAACTACGCTGTAAGCTTGCAAGGCTGCAGGTGCAAGTGAAGGAACTGCAGGAGGAACAGCAGGTATGGCTTCAGTACAAGAATGAAGGCAGCATTAAAGACCAGCAAAAGATACAGAAACTGGAAAAAGATATTGCCCTAACACAAAGGACTTTTCAGGAGATATCAGGTGTGTGTTTTCCATCTTCTACTTCACTCAGAACACAAATATTAATTGTGTTTAAATATAAAATACTATACAGTTGTGGTCATAAGTTTACAGTAATCTTGCAGAACGCTAATAATAATGTAAAAAATGTTTCTTCTTTTATTAATCACTACCCTAAATATGCTTTTTAACAATGGATGTTTACATACAGCCCACAGGACAAATATATATC